ACAATGGCTCCACCAAACGGCATTCTCACCACACTGTAGGAGGTTTCCCATTTCTCCACAGCCTCTCCAGCATTTATTGTTTGTGAACTTCTGAATGATGGCTATTCTGACTGATGAGAGGTGATACTTGATTGCAGTTTTGATTTGCATTTCTCTGATAATGATATTGAACATTTTTTCATGTGCCTACTGGCCATTTGTATGTTTTCATTGGAGAAATGTTTGTGTAGGTCTTCTACCCAGTTTTGGATTGAATTGTTGGTTTTCCTTTCTTATCAAGTGTAAAAGCTGTTTACATATTTTGGGAATTAATCCCTTGTCAGTTTCATTCATTGCAAATATTTTCTTCCATTCCACAAGTTGTCTTTTTGTTTTGCTTAATGTTTCCTTTGCTGTTCAAAAGCTTGTAAGTTTAATTAGATCCCACTTGTATATATTTGCTTGTATTTCTATTGCTTGAGTCGACTGCTCTAGGAGAACATTGCTGAGATGTATGTCAGATGATTTGCCTATGTTTTCTTCTAAGAGGTTTATAGCGTCTTGTCTACATGTTTAAGTCTTCAAGCCATTTTGAATTTATTTTTGTGTATGCTGTGAGGGAGTAGTCTAACTTCATTGATTTACATGCAGCTGTCCAGTTTTCCCTACACCATTTACTCAAGAGGCTATCTTTACTCTATTGTATGTTCTCAACTCCTTTGTCAAAGATTCAAAGACCAAAAGTTTGTGGGGATATTCTTGGTAATTTTGTTTATCCATTCATTGATGGATGGATATTGTTTGTAACTTTTGACAACTCTGAATGATACTGCTATGAATATTGATGTGCAGGTTTTTGTGAGAGTATGTTTTCATTCTTTTGGCTGTAGATTTGGCCCACCTTATATGTAGTTTCCACTTCATGGATCCAGATGGCTGATTGTAAAGAGACTCGAACATCCTTGGATTATGGTATCCAGGGTGGGGTGTTCCTGAAACCAACCCCCCGAGGATACTGATGGATGAC